TGCAGGGTTCTTCGATTCCGGGACATCCCTGTTCCTCACAGTACATTCCCCACCATCCTGCATTTAGTCCAGCTTCATGAGCACAGTCACATGTGCCATTGACACACTCTCCTCTAGAACTGCAGAAGTCATGACAACTTATACCATGCCAGCAATCATTTTTACATTTACATGTTCCACTGTTTGGTGGATCTTGTTGTCCATGCTCGGGTCCGCACTGAATCTCACAAGCAGGGCCCATCCATCCTTCAATGCAATCCTGACACTCTGGTATAGCAGTACTTGTATAACATATGCCTCTATTATTGCAGTCAGGATCACCAGGACAATCAGGTTCTTCACAGCCAATCCCAACCCAGCCTTCATTACACAAACATTGTCCAAGTATACAAGTACCATGACCAGTACAATCCTCCCCATATCCTGGACATCCAGGTTCATCACAAAACGTGCCTCTGCCACCTTCAAATGGGCATACACAGTAGCCATCATCAGTGCAGTTGCCAACACTGGCACACATCATGTCACAGGAAACACCATGATAGCATGGTTCACAGGAACAGTTGCCAGAATCCATTGGATCTTGGATGCCATAAACACATGGTATTTCACATGCTGCTCCCATCCACCCATCTGTACAATTGCGACAATATGTTGGATCACTAGGGTCACAGACACCTCTCTCGTTACAATCTGGTGTTCCAGGGCAATCAGGAATCTCACATCCAAGGCCGACCCAGCCAGAATCACAAAAACAAATTCCAGTGGCAAGATTGCATTCACCATGACCTGTGCAGTCAAGTCCTTGTTCTCCAGGACATCCACCAACTTCACAAAATTCACCTCTACCACCTTCAAATCCACAGTCACAAGTATCATTTATACATAGAGCTGTAGTCTGATTAGAACACAGCAAATCACATCCAAGACCATTGTAACATGGCTCATTGCAGTGACAAAACCAGTTGCCATTATCTGATCTTTCTGGTATTCCAAATTTACATGGTAACTCACAACCATCACCCATCCAACCAAGCTCACAATCGCATATGGGATCCTGCCCCTCATCAGG